AAGTCTGTGAGCCTGCAGCTGGAAATCATTAAAGTCACAGTGCTGTGAACTAAGGATTCTGAACTAAGCGTTCAGACATCACATAGCTGTAACAGGGAAAGAAAATACTAAATGGAGAAATCCTTTATAAGGAGGACTGTACCTGAACATTTTTTTGAGTTTAGCATTAAACATAGCTGTACTTTTTTGTATCCTATGTATTTCACACACAGCTGTAGCCCAGAAGTTGTTAGATGAATTTATTCACAATGTCTTGTGTTAATTCATTGCAATGGAGGACAACAGCTGCTACCTTGATTATTAAGTAAATTCAATACAGGGTTACTACAAAAATTACAAACTGAACATCTGATAATTCCAGTGACCAAGGAGTAAGAGCTTTGCAAGAGTAAGAGCCTTCGAAAAGAGATGACCCATAAAACTGAAGTCATTCTGAGTAGGTAGACACCAGCAACAGACACACATTGTTTCACATCTTTCTTGAGTCCTGTTTCTCCACTTTCTCCAAAGTATGTGTGGCCAATACTTTCTTTTTGCAACACCTTACTTTTTTTGCTCCTTGGTTCGCCTTCTGTGTTCCCATCACTTTATACCCTAGGTTTGTGGTACTTGTTATGACTTTCACAATGATACAAAGCACTGTTCAAGCCACTTCTCTATTCCTCCTTACATCGGCTTTTCAGCGATGCTACCCTTTACGAAGGCAAGATTTATCCATATTTTTTCACCATTAACCAAATTATTCCAGCAAATAAATGATGATGTTACACAACGAGGTGACAAAAAATTTAACCTGACAGTTTGAAATAAATCATGTCAGCATTAACAAGTTCACTCTTCCTCTCTTTTTCCTTTTAGTGCAAGGAAGCATCCTAGACCACTATGTGAGAACAGAGGGAGCTTGGCTGCTCAACCCAATGAAGCAAATTTACAAGACAAATAGCGAGGAAGAATGTGCAGAGCAATGTGAAAATGAAAATAAGTTTGCTTGCAGGTAATTTCCATGGGTTCCCATATATATCTTGCATTGCAGATGATGGAGCAATCTGCCTTATTTATCACCAGTTTGAACTTTCAAGGGATTTCTTAGGAGTATGCACATTTGAGGTTTGCTGGAAAAACAAAATATGTGTACAAATAGAATGCCTGGGACATATGGATGAAGACTGCAGAAACAGAGATAGTAATAAAATTATGTTGAATTTTTATTGAAAAATTTTATGATGTCTTGTTGTACAGCTTGGCACACTGAAAACCAACTTAACATGGTTTTATCAAGGCTCTTGCGCTCCTTGTGCAATGAAGAGTCATAATTAGTTTCTCAGACATTTGGGACAGAAATAATAGCAATAATAGCACTGCTTATGTTCATTGCATTACCTATCTTGCAGATAAATCCATTATTCTGACTTTTACTAGAATTTGGATTTACATACTATGAGGAAGAAATAAACACCTAAACCTTGATGATCCTAAACTCTACTTCCAGCCAAGCTCTCTCTCTACACTTGCATTTAACCAGGCTCAGGGGGCAGGAAAGCACAAAAGGTGTTGACCAGTCTGAACCATTGGCCTTTGCTCAGGCTCCTGTCCTAGTGGAAACTATTGCACTGAGTCTAAGGCTGTACCAAAGCCTCAGAGCCCATTAAGCTCCAGCAGTATAGCCAAAAACTGGAGCAGTGAGGAGAGACTACTGCAGTGGGAGGCAGTCCTCACATATGGGGCACGGGGGCGTTCTCTTCCAATTTTCATGAGTTCTTGATTTACTGCTTCTGCAGCACAGCTTTTGAACTTAGCAGACTGACTGTCTGCAGGGTTGTTTCCAGCACTTGGTTCTCCTTGGGGCTTTTATTCAAGGCAGGTATACCTGCTGACTTTTTAAATGTGCTGTATAACTTTGTGTTTTAAATCAAAAGGGAAAATGAGACTTAAAGAGCTATAATGCTGAAGGATGACAGCAGTTTGCTGGCTGTGCAAAGTACCACCCGTTCCCTTTGATTCAGTTTCCCCTCTCTGAAAACCAGAGAGGGCAGAGCTTCAGTAGCACATGGCTCAGGAGGTAGGGAGGAAGGCAGAGAGGGCAAGTCTATATATTTACATTATATATTTACAGTTTTCAGGGGATTGTTTTTCCTTTTGAAGCATATTCAAACACAGTATCATTCCTTAGCTTCTGCCTTGGATCTGAGCCTACCATCACCTGACACTGGAGTAACATCATGTTATTGCCTCCGTAGTAATTAATTTTGTGAGATGTATTATAATCAAGCAAGAACAAGAGCTATCTGGCAGGAAAGAGTATGTGGGAAGAAAGGTAAGTGTCAGGCAGAGTGTTCAGACCAGACCAGCACTGCAGTGTTCTCCCAACAGTGCTTCAGAGCAATCAGTTAGGATCAATACTTCAGACTTGTTATCCCACCTCAGTAGTGGGTTGGGCCATGCTCGTTAACTCCATCCCTACTTACAGATTTAACATTAGTGATAGCTGGGTTTTATTGGGGGTAACAGCCTCTGGTGTAGTTTTGATGCAAGACAACCAGCCCTACCCAGAAAACTCATGAACATGGTTGTCAGCAATAAGTCCAGATGTGAACCCTCTCCTGAGGGGAGAGGCTGTGTGAATTTGCAAGTGCAGACAGACTGGGGCCATGCCAGCTGGTTGCAGGGCTACAGAATGTGCTTTGTCAGTATTTGCCTTCCTAGTATAGACCAACTCAGGGAATGCCATGCTGCTATTGCATGTTTTTGGGTTCAGAAAAGCCACCTCTAGGAATTAGTTAGCTTATCAGGAGGTTTCCTTAGATGATCCTGTAAAGGTTACACCATCTGCTCCAGTTCTGCATACTTGCAGCCAAGGCACTTGCTGAAAAGACAAATGGCTGTGTCTTATGAAGTACTTATGTTGCTTCATGTATGGTGATTCAGAACAGTTATCACAAGATAATTTAAGGTCTCGGATTGTTGTGTTTTACCTGCTCCTTGGTAACTGCTGCATACTGTATGTAGAATGTTTCACTCCTTGAATGACCACTAATTTTTTTAAAATAAAGTCAATGTGCCTTATGCATATATTCCCTTTATTCCTTGTTATAATTTGTTCTTGTAGTTCTCTTTCAACCTAAGTTTGATATGAGCACTTAGGAATCAAAATCACCACTGAAAATGTGAGCTGCATTACTCAGCGATTTGAAAACCACACTTGATCTTAAATATTACTGAACTGTAGTGCTTGCTAAAATGATAACTGAATACTCAAAAAGGTGTTCAGGAAAATAAGCATATATTCAGTTACTGTTTCTTATATTACTCTCTCCTCTTATTTCCAACAGGGCCTTCTTATTTACCAGTAAAGACCAGCAGTGTTTAACATTGTCTGAGAACACCAAAACAGCAATGATATTCAGAAGAACGAATGCAGTTCTTTACGAAAAAAGAAGTATGTCTATGTATTTTTATATTGTTTCCCTGAGATATGCTTTTGTAGGGACTTATGTAACACTTGTGTAAATGGGGGCTAAGCCTTCACTGGGTCAGATGAAGTGTGTAGGTCAGCCCGTACCTCACACTCGGGATTTGTCGCATTGCTGGTATAACAATGGTACAGATTTTTTTGTTTCCCCAGATTAGTGCTCCACCATCTTTCCCACTCCCTAAATCCTAGGGTTCACAAGCAGAAAAGAGCACTATTGCTTCGGGAATGCAGAAGGTGCTGGGATAATGGAAATGCTTAGGAGTACCTTCTCTCCTCTTCTTTTGAACCAGCCAATAACCCATGTCTGCATCTTCTGTATCTCTGCTGAGGGGACTAGGAGAAGCTACTTCTGTTGGCAATGGTTTCTGATACAGACCTTTGCCCACAGAAAAACTGATGGAAGCTACCAAATAATTTCTTTTGTATCACTACAGAAAATTCACAGTTTATTTGGATGGGACTCAAATCAACTTTGTTTTAGTCTTTAAGAAGTATTAGAGTTTTAACTGTGCTTCAGATAAAAATGATCTATTTTTATAATATTTTCATATTGTTATATGATGTTTGTACTCTTCAGTTAATGAATTTGATGGTATTTTTGTCCTAATCTTACTTTTATGGCATAATTAAATGACATGGTGAATTTTTGTATTCCACTTTTAGGCATATTTTATTGATGATCATCTTTGTCATAGATGAGGGTTATTTGATAGAAATGTATTTAGTCTCTAATGCTTTCTGATAATAGGAAGTCTGTCTCTAAGAAATGGCAGCTATCCAATTTTTTATCCCCTTTTAAAAATGTATCACCTTACACCAAATGCAGAAAAAACATTGAGATTTAAGACTACTTTTTAATTACATGATCAAGCATGGAGCTCTTGCTATATGCAGGCAATAAGGAATGTGATTTATTTTTAATGTAGCAGAAGTTCCATTGTGTTGTTCTTTGACGTTAGTAATACACAATGGAGAAAAGACCTCCTTAGTGATCATTCAGATGTAAGATAATGTGGTAAATTTTGAATAGAATCAAAGTTTCTGTGTTAGGTGGATTCGTGAACATTGTCTTTGGCCATTTGCTGATTCATAACTTTAAAAAAATATTAATGCATTTGAGAATATTCAGAAATTGGAAAAAATATTATCTATCAAATACTGGACTAAAAAAAAGGCACACAAAAAGCTAAAACAAACCAGGTTCTCAGCTGCTGGAAATTATGCAGTTGTTTTGATAGACCAATTTTTAACCAAAAGTCAAGAATTACAATAACTGGAAGGTAAACTGCATCTTTACTTCTCTGATGACCTTCAAAGACTTGTATGATAAGATAATGTTATGTGTATAGCACCTGAAAGAAGTTTTTAGATAGAAGTTCAGTAGCTTTAACTGGATTGCATCTTAACATACAAATGAGATCTTGTTCAGACCTTGTGGATATAAGGAAAGTAATTTTTCACAGAAAAGGAGGATAAACACTGGACCACATTGCCCAGAGAGGCTGGGGAGCCTTCAGCCTTTCTTATATTTACTGGACAAAGCTCTGAGTGATCTCATCCAGCTCAGAAGCTGGCCATGCTTTTTATGGGGGTTTGGACCAAAGATGACTGAGGGTCTTTTTCAACCTGATATTTTCTGAAGCCTATGGCCAGCTGCATTTTTTCTTTATATATATATATAAAACTGAACAGGTAATTTAATGATTAGAAGATAACATTTTTTATTATATTCAGAAGCAGGTGGGAATTTCAACAAATGAAGTAATGCTAAGAAATCTTCTGCAGTTCCTATTGCAGAAGGAAAATGGAACAGATTAATTGTCAAGTAACAAAGTTAAAAGACTGAATGAGTAACTTATATCTAAACAATCATATTGGTTTTGCTTACTGTGAGGATCTGAACTGTGATTTTGGTTTATTTTTGAAACATCCCTTGCATTTACTGAGGCTAGAACTGGTCCTGCAATATTCAGGGAGGATTTCTTACTACATTTTTTGACATAGACCTTTAGTTTCTTGAAAAACAGAACCCCACCAGTAAAAGTGTGAAAAACTGTTGTTCGATGTGACCAAAATGTCCGAAAATTCCACCCCTACCTACAGAAACCAAAATATGGACCTTGGTATCATGAACATCAACAACACAGCCTATTGTGTATGTCGGATGGTTTCTCTGTTACTCATCTTTTTGTTTGCAGAGAGTCTCAAATAATTATGTGTCCATTCTAATGATAACATCCATTTAATCTATTGTTACAGAACAGAATGGAAAAGGTAGCTTTTACCTAGGCAGATCACATCACTGTCTCCTGAGGCTGCTGCTGTCCTGATACTTCAAGGAAATTCCTTTCATAGGTCCAGATGCTTTTGCAATATTATTCCTGAAACCAAGAGTATTTTTTCAGTTGAAGCAATTACTCAAGGAGACCTAGTTGCTATTTATCAATGCGTTCAAAGGAAAGGATAACAATTAGTGTAAAACGGACAGTTTTAAAAGTTAATTTTTCTATGGTATGTACTATAAAAGAGAAAGTTAACTTTATCTGACTTATAGAAAAAAGAATAAAAGATGCATTGGGAATTGTTATCTACATATCTGTTTGTAAATAGTTAACCCAAGGGACATGGGTTGAGCTTGGGGATCAAAGTTAGTCATTTGTCATCAGACAGAAAAGGCCCTAAAGGTTATATAAATGGTCAAAAGTTTACACAAACAAAGAGAGTCAGCACTTGACCAATTCAATGTTCAGTAATTGAGGGGTTTAATGTTATTTTATTGCAAAATTGTTTGAGGGATCCAAAAGACTTCCAGTTAAAGTTTCTAGAGTAAACTCTCCCCTGTGCATACATTGAAATAAAAGCATGACCAAAGGTACATCTCTAAATCCAAATCTAATCTACTTACTGACCCTTGGAAAAGCTAGACTTAATTTCAAATTCAAATATTCATTCTTTTCACTTTAGACAAGACAGGTCTGTCTAAAATGGCATTATTTCTCCAGATTTCTGTTTATATGCTTGTATGTCAGCTTTGTTACAACTTTGATGCTGAGAAAAACTGTTGCAAAACTGGGTCTCCACAAGTATTTTATTTGGACACTACCTGAAGACATTGAGACAAAACAGATCACAACCTAAAAGATAGATTGCTTCATTAGGGAAATATTAAATGAGTTTCCTGCTTAGTTTTCCAACCCAGAGGATGTGTTGCCTAACAGTGACTGACCCTGACCTGCAGATGCAGAAGCTCTGAGGGAATATGCCAAGATCCGAATTCCTTCCTGA